CATCAAGATTGGAGGGAGACTCATCAATAATAAGCTATATTATGCACAACCTTGCTTGCTGAAAATGAGGACTTGAAACACTTGTTGCAGAAGATCAAAGAACAGTCTCAATAGGGATTGTATCTCAATGTCAAGAAAAAGATTCTTACCACTGTACCAATAGGCAGCATCACGGTAGATGGAAAAAAGACTGAAACTGTCAACAATTTTGTCTTACTTGGATCCGCAATTAACACCCTTGGTACCAACAGTCAGGAAATCATAAGACCAACTGCACTGGGAAAATCTGCAGTTAGGGACCTCTCCAAATTACTGAGGAGTAACGATGTCAGTTTGAGGACTAAGGTGCTTCTGATTCAGGCCACGGTCTTTCTAATCATAGACAGCGAACTGCCAAAAGTTCAAGGAGGATTTAGAAGAGCCTGTGGTACCAGGGATATCACTGCTGATGTATCTGAGAGCTAGACTATGAATAAGACTTACAGAATTGATGCCTTTGAGCTGTGGTATTGGAGAAGAATACTGAATATCCCATCCCATACACTACCAAAAGAACAAGCAAATATTGCCTTGGAGAGGGTGCAGCTAGAGTGTTCTTTGGAGGCAAGGATGATGAGGCTTTGCCTCACATTTGAGCATGTTGCTAGGAGGGTTATTCCTTGGAGAAGCACATGATGGTGAGAAAGGTAGAGAGGGTCGACAAAGGAGAGGAAGACCCTGAACTAGGTGGACTAACACAGTGACTGCCATAATGGACTCTTGTGTGTCAGGAACTGTGAGGATGGCACAGGATGGACAGAGTTCAGATCTGTTTTTCAGAGGGTTGCTATGGGTCATACTTGACGACATCTAACAACAGCATACTATGTCAGACATCGCCTTAGGTATATGGTAACAACACCTGTGTCTAAAGTGACACCAATTTGCCTTGGAGATCATAACCTCTGATTTTTCCCTTACACAAAATTAGCAGTGACAATGACCAAAACATTTTAAAATTGGAATGTGTTTTCCAAAATCGTCAGAGGAGCCCTAGTAGTATAATGAATAAATAAATGGCTACTAAGTGTCAGTGGTTTGAAGCTAGTAGTGAATCCCTGAGAGGAAAAGACATTCAGCTTCTGTATGGATTATTGTTGTTAGGGCCTGTCAAGTCCAATACGACTCATAGCGATCCTATGAAAAACAGATCTGAACCCTTTTCTATCTTGTGCCATCTCATAATCTCTGACACACTTGAGCCCACTGCTGCAGTCACTGGGTCAATCCACCTAGTTGAGGGTCTTCCTCTCTTTCACCGACCTCCACCTTTCCTAGCTTGATGCCCCTCTCTAAGGAATAGCTTCTCCTAGCAACATGCTCAAAGTATATAAGATGACATTTCATCATCTTTGCCTCCAAGGAGCACTCTGGCTGCATCTTCTCCAAGACATACCTTTTGTTCTTTTGTCAGTCCCTGGGATGTTCAGTGCTCTTCTCCAACACCAACAGTTCAAAGGTATCGCTTCTTCTTCTGTCATCCTTATTCACTGCCCAGCCCTCAGATGTATAGCAAGTGATTAAAAAGACCACCACTTCTCTTCTCACACCTTCCCTGTGATTCCTATTTCCATTAAGCCTACCTTTTCTGTCTTCTGAGTATCTTCCCCAGGCAAATATTCCCTGTCGATTCTGTATGACTGGTTACTCTAAGAAGTGAGTGGCTGCCTGGTGCTACTTTTCATCTTATAGGCCTATTATTTGGCTGAACGTCTAACCATAGGAATAAGTTCAGTTCAAGGTTTCAGGGGTGGTTAAACGTCATAGTCTAGGGAATTTCCACCAGTCTCTATTGGACCGAAGGCCTGGCCGTCTTTTGTTTTCTGAATTTCACTGCACATTCCCCTCTACTGCATGCAGTTATCTTCCACTGTGATCCCTTGAGCAGGCACCATCTAATTCTTCTAGTCTCAATGTCAAACAGGGTGAGGTTTTAGTATTCCACTCACTCCTTGGATAACTGCTTCTAAACATCCTTGTTTTTCTTTCCTATTCTTTGTTCCAGACCTGAAGGATCAACAGTTGCAGTTTAGATGGCTATTTGCAAGCTTCTAAGACCCCAGTCACTACTTACCAAAGCAGGAAGTAGAACACTGGCTTTGTGGACTGTGTTATTCTAAAGCCAGGATTCTTTGAGCTTCCTTGCTCACTGCCCATATTACTCATTTGGAAAATAATGCTCTGTGTAACCTGGAGAAGCAATGCTCTGTGTGACCTTGGGAAGCAAAGCTCTGTGTGACCTTTGACAAATGCCTTCCTGCTGTTGTACCTCAATTTACTGTCTATCACAGTGGAGTTGGTCAAGAGAGTCTGTAAGTGACTCTGGTTGACATCTCCAACTGACCTTAACACACTGAGGCTCATGGTAAACTTTCTACTTGTGTGTGCCATGTCTCTGCAACCAGAATATACATTCCAGGCAAAGGTGATGGTTGTTGTTGGGTGCCATCAAGTTGAGTATGACTCACAGCAACAGTGTGAACAAGAGATCTGAATGTGGTCCTGTCCTGTGCCATCCTCACAATCTCTGACCTACTAGATAGAGCCAGACAAAGACAGAAGCCATTCATTGACATCCTCGAGTCGCCTAATACATCACCTACTGCTTATCTTTTCAAATGGTTTTAGGTGTCTGAAGCAGATGTCACACACACAAATTCAAGGAACTTTCTCATTGCTGTCAAGTGGTTCTAACTCATAGTGACCCTCCATTGGGCTTCTAAGGCTGTAAATGAAAATGGGAAGAGATTGTCCATTTTTGTCCTAAAAAGCCACTGGAGGATTAGAGCTGCTGGAGATGTGCGGCCTTCATATCAGCAGCACCACAACACACACTCACACACAATCTCTCTCTCTCTATGCTGTTATGTGCTGTCCAGTCCACTACAACGCACAGGGATCCTATGCATGATAGCTCGAACCTTGCTGTCTTGAGCCAACCTCACTGTCTCTGACACACTTGCTCCCATTGCCAAAGTCACTGGGTCAATCCATCTCTTCCAGGGTCTTCCTTTCCTGTGCTGACTCTCCATCCTTCCAAACATGATGTCCTTCTCCAAGGACTAGTAGTCCCTCTTGGCAACATGTCCAAAGTATGTGAAACAAAGAAGCTTCACAAACCTTGCCTCCAAGAAGCAATCTAGTGCAGCGCACGCACACACATACATGATCACTTTCTCTTATGTATCTATACATATAGATACATAATAGATCATGGATAAGAAAAGGCTATTTGAATTTAAGACATTATTGTTATAAATCAGTCAAACAAAAGCCTTGGTCATAAGAAACCCTAAATACAGAATACTGTTATCTTTGATTAAAGGAATGACAACTCCACTATGCTAGAATTTATTTTTCAATATCTGCTTCCAAGTGTAAGTTTCTGTTTGTGTCCATTTTCTAAACCAAATTAAAAATCATTGTCACTTAGTTGATTTTGACTCACAGCATCCCTCTAAGACAGAGTGGAGCTGCCCTATCAGGTTATTGAGGCTGTGAATCTTAACAGGAGAGGCAGCTCCCTCTTTTCTCTGTGGAGTGGCTGGTAGCTTTCAACTGCCAACCTTTTGGCTAGCAGCTCAACACTTAACCCACTATGCTCTCAACGCTCCTTGTACATTTCCTAGTTAATTCTAAGTTACAAGCTTGAGCTCTGAAACACTGAGGAATCCAAGAAGTTCTACATTTCTTTAAGTGAATTTGCATTCTACTACACTTTAAATATAACACAATATAAATATGGTTTATAATAAATTCGGTTCAGATACCACACTCAGCTGTTTGACCCTGGGAAATGGAACCCTGTGTCTCAGATTCCCACCTCACAAAATCAGTTTGAGGATGAAATAAGTCAGTATTTGTGAAGTGTCTACATCAATGTCAAGCACACGGGAAGTGGGATGTAAGTGCGGAGCGGATACAATTACTCACATATGTGCTAACACTTATACGTGAAGTGCAACTGGGAATGGGGGTGTAATTAGAACTGTTCACACGGTTCGTGGATTCCTAACATTTTCTCTGATGGTAACAGAGGCTAAAGTTTAATAATTTGTTGAAAGCTGCATCATTTTTACATGTATACACATGGCAGGCAATGTTTTCCACAGTGTGTGAAAAGTAGATCTTCCCTGGCTATGGATGCAGAGATGTGAGATCCTTGGAGGAGGTAAAGTGACAGAAGTGCCAAAGTCATACATATAGGGTTTGCAATGTATCTGGATGCAGTTAATGTTCATATGCAGATAATTTTCAATTGTCTGTTAAAAGGGCAAATCAATGGAGAAGAAAGGAAACTAGAGGATGAGAATAATTTACACACCGATCACCAGGCCTTAGTAACTCAGCGTTCCTGGCACTATTTAAGAGTCAAAGTTCCTCCCTACTCATGCTTTCTAGAAACTGGCGTAAGATCCTAGGTTTCCTTCTTTGTGAGGCACATTCTGTTCTGTGGCCAGTAGTGTCATGGCATGGAGGAATCAGGAAGGGATAATAACATTTTTTTTAGCGGCCTGCCTTTGTTCAGCAAACCACCTTTCATCCCATCTCTCTAGTGGGTTCATACGGTACTGTTGCTATGAACTGGTGTGATTTCTATCTTGGAAAAAGGTTCGTTCATTCATTCATTCAAAGCGTATCTCTATACATCAGATCATCATTTATAAACCAACCCAGCCAACGCTGGCATCACCCTGGCTTACTTATGTCTCCTGACAAATGTCTGCCTGGCTTAGAATCCAAGTCAGCCATTACCCCGTAAACACTGAGCCACAGTTCCCCCCTGTGGATGCCTTCCTCTGCCTATACCGAGAAGGCCAGGTCCTGGTCAGGAAGCTGGACCTCAGGCACCTACTCATGAGACCATGCTGGTGGCAGAACTAAAGCAGACAGCAGTAGCCACTGACTGAGGTGTGGGGCGGGTGTGTGTCAGCAGAAACAGCCTTAGCAGCATGACTCACCACACAGTCATCTATGATCTCCGTGAGGCGTGTCCGATGTTTCCGCCCCAAACGCATGATTTTTTTCCACGTGTAGTAGTACTCCACACACTGTGCCACTGTCTTCGACTTCACCTGATGGGAAAGTGAGCTCAAGATTAACTCTCGTGGCCATGGGCAGTGTGCAGAGCAGCAAGTTTTTAGAATTTAATTTTGTAATTCAACTGCATTAAAAAAAGTTTCCAGCTGAAAAGTCCCTTTCTGTCTCATTTTCCATCTACCTAGTTCTTACTCCCTACATGCAGCAGCAGCAGCAGAGAGCCTGTGCTAAATTCTGTCGGTTTCATCTCCAAGATTCACTATGCATCTACCAAAACCCACAAAAATGGATTCCTCCTCACCATCTTTTTATTCTCCACAAGAGGTGACACCGTGTGTATTGATTCACAACGTGATTCCCCCTCCTGCACAACAAAGCTTGCATATTCTTCTCTACCAATGTGTCTATTGACAGGTTCCTCATTTTGTTAACCCATATTCTTTTCCCATTCAATGTACCTGAATGCATTAGCTCTCCAGTTCTTGATTTTCAAAATCCTTTTATAAAAAATGGTCCTTAGTAATCAAACAAGAACATAAAAGAAAAAGTTTTGATGATAATAGTTCCATTTTCATAGGAACAAACCTTGCTTTGTTCACTCCCAAAGAGGAAAAAGCACATTTACTTTAAAGAGAAAAAAAATTCCTTTGTGGTAACTTATATATCCCTACGCTCAAGAAGGAAGCTCAATAACGTGGGTTTCAGGTTGCAGACAAAAGGCTGGCCCTAATCTACTCCTGGGAGCTGGGGACAGGAACACTGTCACCTACAGGGTGAGCCAGAAGGGCACCTTCAGAAGTTCTGTCTGCTCCCCTTACTCTGGGGTCACATTCACCTTGCACCTGACTCTCCTACACCAGAATCTCCCCACAAAGTGAGGACATCATCTCACAGACCCTTGGTTTTAAAAGCTGTTTCCTGGGAAGCATACCGCACGGATCCATCGCCAATCAAAGAGGTACATGGACTTCAAGGAAGAGTCTCGGGGAAGGTGACTTAGGAAAGGTGCTGGGCCTGAGGGTGATGCTGGCCACAAAGGCAGGGAAAGGCAGGAGAGAAGGCAAGCAGCAGCAAGAGGCCAGGCTAAGGCAGAGCCCGCATGTTCTGACTCCTATCTGGGCAAGCCCTAGCTTAAGGAGACACTGCACCTGAGGACTGGCCTGAGACCAGCCAGACGAGCCTGGAGTCAGAGAAAACTGTCGCCTGTGACTGTTCTCTGTGTGCCTAAACATCCTTAATGACCTTTAATAGTACAATTGGGTTCATCATTCATCAGCCTGTTGAAACATTCTTTAAATCAATTTAACGTTTGGCCTAAATCAACTCTCAGCCAATTAAGTCCTATTAAGTTCATTACATACTGTATAAAATGCTATTCCACGTGTGTGAACAGCCCTGTTTTCCTGAGAAAGGCTGCCAGTGTGAGGTGTTAGTATCATTGCTGTCATTCTGCGGAGGGGCCGATGCTGGAAGCTCAGCTCCTCGACTGGGGCAAGGATGGATCCTCTTCCCTCTCAATTTCCCAGAAAAAAAATTCTAGCTGTCAGAAATATGGCACATCTGTCAGATACGCATAAAATAAACCATGTAAATTGGGAAACAGAACCCTGGTTCTATCTATTCTGAGAAAACATAGAAATTATTTTGTAAACGCATCACCACTGTCAGGATTACATAATTATTATCCTTTTCCCCCTTCCTCCTCTTTCTCCTATATTGCTAACACTAGGGTCACTCACCACCAGCCAGAACAACCCTCACCTACACCAGTGAGGGCTAGAAAACACTCCTTTTTTTGTGCAAGTCTACTAAAAGCAGGGAAGAAAATATGGGTGAGTATCTCCAAATGAATACTTTACATTCTAAAACCTTATTAATTTCCCAAATTAAATTTCAAGAGAACAATGAGAAAAATCAGGCTTACCATCTTCTGTATAAAAATAAAGTCTTTGCTATAAGTGGATAGTGCTTTATTAAACAGTTTTTTTTCAAGAGAGGTCCATTTGTCCGAACCTGCAATGAACACACATTTTGTAATGAGAGCCCACTTAACTTAGCTTTATGAAATATAGAAATGTTTAGCAGGTGATACAACAGTTTAACAAAGAGCTAGTGCTGTGTCACAGATAGCAGCCCTGACTCAAAAACCTCAAACTCACAGCTGTTCAATCTGAATCTAGGCATTGTGGACCCTCCACTGGGATTTGAGGCTGTAAATCACATGGGCAGAGAATGCCCATTTCTGTTCCTCAGAGTCGGGTGGATTCAAACTGGTAAAGAGTTGTGGCCTTTGGTAGCAGCACAATTCAACACTGACTAGGCCATTAGCGCTCCTTTTGAAATGGGGTTAACATACCAACTATAGCTTTGTTATTTACCCTACCACTCAATTCTGTTATCTGCAAATGGTAATAATTATGCTATAACGTTATGGTAGTAAGTCCGGGTCACAATCCATGGATGCTCAAGTCTCTTATGGTGTAGCATTTGCATATAACCTAAACGCTTCCTGCTGTATGCTTTAAATCCTCTCTAGATTATTTTAACACTAAATACAATGCAACTAGCACTTTATACTCTCACCCCACTGGTCCAATAAGCAACATCATGATAGATGGAAAAAATACTGAAACTGTCAATGATTTCATCTTACTGGGATCCACAATCAGAATCCTTGATACCAGAAGCCAAGAAATCAAAAGTCATGTTGAAACAGAAGAGTCTGCTGTCAGGAACTCTCCAAAGTACCGAGGAGCAAGAATGTCAGTTTAAAGACTAAGGTGTCTGATTCAGGCCATGACCTTTTCAATCACTTGATTTGTATCTGAGAGCAGGACAATGAATAAGGATGACAAAAGATGCCCTGATGCCTTCGGATTGCAGTACTGGAGAAGAGTACTGAGTATCCTGTGAACTGCCAAAAGAATAAACAGTTATGTCTTGGAAAAGGTGCAACCAGAGTATTCCTTGGAGACAAAGATGGTGAAGCTCTGACTTACATATTTTGGGCATGTTGTTAGGAGGAGATATTCCTTGGAAAAGAACATCATGTTTAGAAAGGTGGAGGGTCAGAGAAAGAGAGGAAGACCCTCAATGTGATGGATTGACACAGTGATGGCAGCAATGTTGTTGTTGTTGTGTGCCATCGAGTCACTTGCGACTCATAGCGACCCTATGTTCAACAGTCCTAAACCCTGCACTAACCCTGTGCCAATCACACTGCCTCTGACTCACCCATCCCGATTACCCCAGTCACTGAATCAATCCACCTCATAGAGGGTCTTCCCCTCCTGCACTGTCCCTCCACCCTCCCAAGCATGGGCTCAAGTATATCAGAAATAATGAGGATGGAATAGGTTAGGACAGAATGCAGGTATGTTGTTCATAGAGCTGCTATGAGTTGTACTCAACTTGATGGCATATGACAACAACTCATCCTTCAGAGGTGGACTTGTGAGCAAGGAGTTGTCCTGCCAATCCAAATGCAAGAAGTTCTACCAGCTGCTGCAAGAAAGATGGACAGTCTCCTCCCATTTACAGCCTTTGAAAACGCACGAGTGGGTCAGATATGAGTCAGTTCTGACTTAACAGAAATGGGTTAAATTTGAGTTGAGCCTTTAAGGGATTTGCCTGCTAAGTTGCTTCCTCCATTGCTGAAGAATTCCAGTCTGGTTGGCTGAATTCATGGAGATAGAATTTGAGGATATAGAGGTTGAGTCTAACTGTTGCCATCTCACAGAATTGTTGAAAAGATTAAATAACGCCGCCAAAGTGCCTGCTCAGTAACCAGGAAAGAGCACTCAACAAATTTTTAGGAGTTCTCACATACTTTTCACCGACATGAACACCTACGTAAGAGTAAGGTTTATTGCACCCTCAAGAAGCTCACAGTCCACAGGACAGAAAAGTCAGCAGCCATCACGTTCAAGGTGACGACCTCAATGACAAGGGAAAGGGTGAGGCGTGCATGCCACAGAGGAGAGACACAGGGTCAGGGCAGCCAGAGAGGCTCATGGGAGAGAAGAAACCCTTTAAATGACAGGGTTGCACTGTCATTTTCCAGCAAGATGTCATATGAGGAGGAGAGAGAAAACCAACTAGTATTTGTGCCCTAGGTACTGTATAGGTATAGTCATTATTTAGTTGTATGGTATCTCTGTAACACTGGTATTGCTATTATCTCATCTTATAGATGGGGAATGGGCGTGTTGAAGGAATAATCAGTAATGCAGCACAGGAAAAGAAGGGGAACTGTAGGGTGAGTGTGTCCAGTTCTTGACAGACTTGCAGACTGACAGAGGGCCTGCTGGTGTGTCTGCTTGGTTTGGTAAAATGTCCTGCTAACTAGTTGATTCTGCCTCTAAATGACCTTATGTTGTTGAGCCAGAATTTATTGCTGATCCTCCAGTGGGTTTCCACGAGAGATAGCCTAGTCTCCCGTGAAGCAGGTGGTGGATTTGAACTGCATGTCTTTGGGAATGCAGAATAGTTTCTTACCTTTAGGCCACCAGAGCTCCCTAATGGCCTTACGTTGTGTGCTGTCAAGGTGAAATTGACTCTCAGTTAACCTTCCAGTGGGTTTTCCAAGGCAGTAAATCGCATGGGAGGAGACTGTCTATCTCTGCTACGGAGCACCTGGTGGATCTGAACCATGTGCCTTTACAGGAGAGGGGAAAAGTTCCCCAAAACATTTCAGGTTGTAAATCCTTACAGAAGAAGTAGACTGCCACACCTTCTTTCCATGGAGTGGCTGGTGCATTCAAACTACTTTGCCACAAGGACTCTTTGGCTAAACTTGATCAACTCAACTCAATGCTGCCAAAATGAAACAGACTCATAGCTGACCCTCCAGCAGGTGTTTTGGAGGCTAAACATCACATGAGAGTATACTGCTCACCTTTCTCCCCAGGAGATGCTGATGGTTTGAACTCCAAAGATGTGCCACCGGTGCTTCAGTGGTCCAATTCCCTACCGTGTACGCCACCAGAGATCCCTGCTTAACTAGACAGTTACCTCTTTCTTCTTAAGATATGGAGATGATCACATAGGAAGGTTCTGGGTGGTTTAGGGCAGGAAATAAGGCATACTTCTAAGGAGCTGCACTGTTCATGGCTCTGATGGTGCAGTCCACAGGGAGATGTACTGTTAACCCTCTCTGTATGTACTGGCACCTCTCTGACAGATCAAACATCAGTGGCTCCACGGGAGAATGATGGGCAAGCTACTCCATGGGATTCACAGCCTCTGAAAACCCACTAGTGGGTCAGCTTTGCGTAGGTTCTCACTTGACAGCAAGGATAGTGAGAGCGAGTTCACGGACCACAGTTTTGGGGGTCTAGAGAAAGAAGGCTTATCACTACAGCTGGTTCACAGACAACAGAGTCTCAACTCCTGGCTTCCTGAATTTGTCACCTCTCTGAGCCTTTGGGTGGTTGACAGCTAAATGATATTTGGGGAATCAGGGAGGCCACTCTGGGCTACAGGTTGAAAGCTGAGGCTCCTTAGAAGAATCCCTGACTGAGCGACAGAAGTTCAGATTTCTGAAATAGACACATTTTGTGTGTGATCCTGCACAGTCCGACAGCCCTAGCTGTCCACTCAGAATTAAGCTGTAAACACCTAAGCTAGCTTAAAAGGCAGGCTCGTCACTTTATTTCTTTGGTTTACAAGTTTATCGCTTTATTCCTAGAAGGAAAGCAGCTTCCCAGCAAATTCCCAGTTGAAAAGCAGCATTGTCCACAGGACTTGGAGGACTCTCTAGATGGGAAAACCACAAGTAGGGAAGAGCTGATCTTGGTGTTCAGGGTGGATGGGAGCAAGGAGGTACGTGGGATCTGGAGCTCATAGTTGCCTAGCTGCCACTTGGCAAACTCTGTCCAACATTTAAGATCTGGAGGTTTCAGCTCCTTCCTTCCCCAGAAGAAAAGGTAAAAACATAACACAGAAAGGATTGTTGTTATGTCCTATTGAGTTAGCATTGATTCGTAGCTGACCCTCCAGGGGTTTTCAGAGGCTGTAAATCACACAGAAGGGGACCGGCCATTTTTCTTTTAAGGAGCTGCTGTTGGATTTGAACCACGGGGTTCTGAACTGGCAGCACTACTCCTTACCAATAAGCCATGAGTGCCACCTAAGAATTAATCAACTATTTAGTTGAATAATCAAAGAGCAGTCATAGAGGAACAAACAGGTAGGAGGTATTGATCAGAAAGATGACAGGGGATGATGGTGACATGTCACACTGAGTGGGTGCCTGGACCAGTCTATAACGAACACAACTGCAGGTTTAAAGTACATGCAGCCCTAGGGTATAACCCAGCTAGGGAACTAGGGGACACATTCTGCTGATGCAAGTAAGCAACTGGAGAACCCTTTATAATTTCTGCCAGCCCACTGGGTTCCTGAGTTAAGAGTGCAGTTCCAAGCCCCAGTAAAACAGTAACATAGTTATCCATTCCACCAGGCCTGCAAGCCCCAGTAAAACAGTAACATGGTCATCCATTCCATCAGGCCTGTTCCACCTCACTGCGGACACACTTGCCACTGTCGTGCAAGGCTCACCACCTGTTTTCTGGCCCAACACGCAATTTCAAGCTTCCAAATCTGTCTGCTTTTGAAGAGCAGGCTCCCAAGTGGTTCATTTGACACACCACAGAGTATGAAGTAACTTCTCGCATATCTCTCAAGGGGGGGATCCCCAAGCTTCATGAGGGAAGCAGATTTTCCTTTGCTGACCTGTGTGGTGGTTTTCAGGGCTACTATTCTGTGACAGGAACAATAGCAGGTGGACTTCAAGTCTTCTAGATCCCAGAGTTTTCATCAGACACCTCAACCCTGGAAGGGGACGCACCATCTCCCACCCGGAGGACTGTCAGGGTTGCGGGAGGGAGCAAGTTCTTACAGAGCAAGGGATGTTGACTCCTCTACATCCACATGTTGGTGCAAAAAGTACTGCCCGGCTGTGTGACCACACAGACAGATGTCTGTGAGGCAAGAGGCAGAGAAGAGAGGCC